CATGCAATTTCTTAATTTGGCATTGTTACTTATATCAAGGGCTGGAGCGATAGCACAGCGGTAGGGTGTTTGCCTTGCACGCAGCCAAGATGGCCGACCCAAGTTCGATTCCTCCGCCCCTCTCGTAGAGCCTGGGAAGCTACCCAGAGTATCTCGCTAGCTGGCAAGCTACCCATGATGTATTCGATATGCCAAACTCAGAAACAACAAAGTCTCCAATGGAGACGTTACTGGGCCCGCTTGAGCAAAATCGATGAACAACGGGAGGACAGTGACTTATATCAAAGGAACAGCAAATTCTTTATTGGTGTCAGCTACTTTCAAAAATTGAAATATTTGATGGACATTTCCAATTATAGAAAATAGTGATTCCGGGAATATGGAAATATTGGTGCAATCAGAAAACAGTAAGAAAAAGCATCAAAGAGCATCAAGAATATTTGCAGGATCAGGAATCAGAGAGGTGGCTGAGCATGTACTTTGCATGCAGGAGCCTGGGATTCAATCCCTGCACTCCCCAAGCACTACTGGGTGTGATTCCCAAGGATGATAATAATGAAATGAAAAATTTGAATCTTTTAAAGGACCTTTCAAGAATGGAGATTGAATTGGAAAGCAAATTTGTTGAAAGTCATTGCAAGACACCAAAAGATTCCAAATATCTTAACGTGAAGCTATGCATTTATATTAAGTTCTTGCTAAAGAGCAGAAGAGGTTAATAATTTTAGCAAAAATGAATATTTAGCAAACTCAAAATCATACTTTTACTTATTCTCCCATCGTGAAGAATACAGTTTATTAGTTTAAGTTAGATCTGCCTTCCACTGTTTAACTGTGGCAAAAATAATATTGACCAAGCCTCCTGATCCTGCTTGACATGAAATTGATACACACTTAGGATCATGGAAAATTTCAGCTGGAAAATACCTTTGGATGAGATTGAAAGGCATTAAATAACTTGTGACCTTTACACCAGTTATCATTAACAAGAAGTAATGATGAGACTCGGAAGACAAAAAGTTTAAAGAATTGTACTTGATAATAAGGTAAAGGCCCTCCCGTTGATCGTCGATTTGCTCGAGCGGGCCCAGTAACGTCTCCATTGGAGACTTTGTTGTTACTGTGTTTGGCATATCGAATACTCCCGGTAGCTTTCTGGGCTCTCCGAGAGGGGCGGAGGAATCGAACTCGGGTCGGCCATGTTGGCCGCTTGTAAGGCGAACGCCCTACCCGCTGTGCTTGATAATAGAACAAATGGGATCCCCAGTTGATGAACTTCATTTTTTTCCTATGGAAAGTCCTTGCATAAAATTTAAACATTTTTGAGGGGAGGCATATGTAGCAGTGTTGAGAGCGTGCTCCGACCTCTGTTCTTGGGCACTTTTGGAGGTGCTTGGTGGTGTCCATGACATGTTGAGAAATGAACCCAAGCCAAACTCCTGCACGCACAACTGGCACTCAGTTCACTGAGTCATCTCTCCTGTCCCAAATTCTAAACTCTTATTTTTTTTTGAGATAACAGTTTGATAGCAATGTTACGTGGATAAGAGAAATGGAGACATTGACAGGATCATTGGTAATATGTAGACCTCACATTCTCTTAGTTAGAAGCCAAGTTTAGCAGAAGGAAAGATGGCAAATTCTGGAAATTGAAACTCCAGGTACATATGGTAGCAGCTTTATGACACAGAGCAATACAGTCCCAAAGCAAGGTGGAACTCTGAAAAATGCATGTCACAATGAGGATGAGACTGATCAGACTGTACCAGGCTTCCAAGGGATTTCCTTCTCATTGATTGATCAGTTCCTTAATTAGAAAGAATGGCTTACTGACATCAAAAGCTCCCAGAGGATGATCAATAACTTGGAACATATAAAGGAATTCAATTATTTCAAGACCCAGAGATAAGGTACTACAATGGTTGGGACCTTGGACACTGGAGCTCAGAGGGCTAGGTTTGTTTGTAGGATCAGAGAGAAGGCAATCAAAGATTTTAGTCATGTCAAAGAGCTTTTAACATCCTGGCCCAATTGGAAATCATTGTAAACCAAGTGTCTGAAACAGAGAAAAGTGTCCTTGAAAAGTTTAGGGTGACCCCTACCATTGCTCTTTAGGAGCAATGTGAATTCTTTTGGATTTTTATTCATCTGCGCCTCACATTTTTCACCTGTAAAGCAGCACTCTTTACTACTAGAATTCAATAGATAATGATCTAAAGAGTCAAAAAAAAACTCTTGGCTGGAACACTCAGTAGATGGAGATGACTTTTAGTTCTACACCTTTATATTGTGAGTCAAAGGATCATAAGTGGGAGAGGAAAAGGACCTAGGGAAGACAGAAATATTGGTGACAGAAGAAAAAGAGGGAGAATAAGAGAAGTTGAAGAGAGTTCTCTAGACTCCATTAGCATTAGCTTAATAGGAGCTAAATGGGTGGAGATGCTCTGGGTCTTGAAAGGAAAATTCAGAGAACTCCTCTTTCATCTCCAGTTCTTTGAAAGGCTGAGTCATCCATCTACAGCATTCTTTGCCTCTCAGCTCCGATAAATTTTCCACCGCTCCACTTTGAATTGGCTGTTTTCTTGGAATATTGAGTGCACTGTAATTCTCAGAACTACAAGAGGAATCACAGCAAACTCATCTTGAGAGAACTCTGGCACATGGAGTTTGCTGAAACCTGAACCCAACCGGAACACCCCCAGGCTGAAGGATTCGAAGAACACTTTGATGGTCAGAAATTAAGCCCAAGCCCCCTTCCTGCCTCCCCACCCTCACCCCGACCCTTTCCATATAGCAGTCAGGATTCTTTGGATCTAGCCTCTTCCTCTCTCTTCCTCACTGTCTCAATTCTAGCCCATGAGATGCCTACTTTACTCCACCAAGAAGCCTTTCTGGTGCTCAGACTGGGAGAGGGACCCTTCTTTTCCACCCATTCCCAGTTCCTTGCACACATCACATGAGTTTCCAGTTCCTTCTGTTGGCTCTGAATGTTTCCCTTCCAGTGCCAGGTGTATAGAAGGTGCTCATAATGCATGAACCTTGAGTCTATTGAAACAATTCATGCCCCTGTCTATGAGCATAGGGTTCTCTTGGGTCTACATTCCCTTTAATTGCATAAATTCTGAATGTCTGAATGCCTTCACCTTGTATTGATATCACTATGGGAAAAAATAAGCTTTTCTCATAGTGGAGGAAAACAAATAGTGTATGCAACTCTTTATCCCAATAAATTTAATTTTCTGACCAACACCTGGAGATGCTTGATAAATACTTGTCAGTGAGGAAGAAAGTGATTTCTGTCTGGTTTCTGTCAACCACCTCCACATACCATTGATCCTTAAGGCTTTCCTCTTCTATGGAAAAGCAGTATTTCCTTTTTTTAATTAGAAGCACTGATTCATTCATTCTTGTTTATTTTTATTAAATTTCCCTGTGTGTAGACATCTTGTATCTCAAATAAGTTGGCTTGGAAAAAAATTTAATCTCTGCCACTCCCTCCAAAAAAGGGGGCAGAGCAAGAGTGAGTGTACAGTGGGTAGAACTCTTTCCTTGCATTCAGCTTAGTTGAGTTTCATCCCAAAATCACATATGATCTCTCAAACACTGCCAGGAGTGATCCCAGTGCACAGTCAGAAGTAAACCCTGAACAGTGTTGAGTGTCCTCCCCCACCAAAATATTTCTTCCCTGCCTTCCCCTCCATTTATCGTTGTTGATATTGTGGTGGTGGTGACCCAGTCATGCCAGGCTGTGATGCTCCTAATTTAGTTGGGGTGCTCACACATATTCTGTAATAATGCATGGGGAGCACTGCAGTGCCTACACTTGTGGTCTCCAGGGGTCACACTTCCTGGCTGGTGGTGCTCAAGCCTGTTGGATTGCAGTACTTGCCAACATTTGCACACCTTTTTGAGATGCTCCCACATACCACCTGAAACCACATGTGGTGGTGGGAATCACAGGCAGAAGTGCCATTGGGATTGTGTTTATGCCTATGGCTGCACTGGGAAATGAGTCTAGAACCCTATGCTTTCAAGGTGGGCTTTCTCAGCCATCGAATTCTTTTTCTGAGGCCCCAAGTTCCATTTTGTTTTTCAACCAAAATTGAGTCTGTGTCTCAACTCCTTTTGTAACACACTCCTCTGCTGCTATATGAAATCTTTTTTTTATCTCATTGGATGGAGGTGAGAAGGACAGAAAGTGTGGGAGAGCAGGAGAATGCTTATATGTACATATATTTGGAAGCATATGTGTGGGTCTAGGTGGCTTTGGTGTAATAAAGCTGAGCTAAAAGAACTTTCTGTAGAATTAAATGGGCTATGCTCCCAATTATAACACATGTTTTTATGGAAATTTGTCCATACCAACAAGCAATTTTTAGACAATAGCAAGGTGTCCAAGGATTCAATCTAGTTCTCATGCTAGAAACATAGATACAACCTCAGACTCCACCTGTCAAGGGCTCAATCTCCTTAGATACTAGTTTAGATTCCAATTGCCAAGACACACTTGTTACCTGTGCCTCTAACCAACTGGCTACAGCTTGGCAGCTCTGACAACCTCTTCTCCTTAAACTTCAGACGCCAGTAACAAGGTCAGTTTTCTGACCAAGTGATTGTACTTCAGAGGTTCTCACAAACGCCTCTAAGGTTCTATTAATTTGCTAGAACTGCTTATAGAACTCAGCCCATTTACTCAGCAGAAGACCTTTTTATTATAGAAAGTTATAACTTAGGAACAGCCAAATGAAGAAATGATTTGGGCAAGCTATGGGGTAAGAATGAGGAGTTCCAAACTCTACCCAGCATGCCAGTCTCTCAGCTCATTTACTGACCTGGCAATTCAGCCTTTTCTTCTGTCTCTTCTGGAGGCATCATTCCTGAGTGTGATTAGTGAACTCACCATCTCTTGAACTCAGTCTCCATTTCCTCTCCCCTGCTAGGAGACAGAAAGAGAGACTGAAAGTTCCAATCCTCTGGTAACCAGCTGCTTTCCCTGACAGTTTCCATTCTTAGGTGGAGTCCAAAATCACCCTTATGGGCACAACAAAGACAACGTCAGCAGTCTCCACACTGAAGGAATCCCAAGAATTTGGAGAGCTGTGAACCAAGAATTTTTATTCAAGCAATGAATACTTAACCATGATCTTATAATATGTGTTTTTATCTTAATGAAAATATCAATGTTTAATAAAAGTGGGATAAAAATGGTCAAGAATAAAGAAAGAAGAAAGCATTAGTGTGATATATTGTGGTTAGTGCTTCGTCTTTGGCATTAAAACAATTGTTTCATTCCTTACACCCATGTAACACTGGTACTCACAACATAATCATTTCAAACCTCAGTGCCTTCCCTAGTATAACAGGACTGAGGATACCTACCATCTAGGATCATTGTAATAGTAGCTAGTTATGGTCACTATAGTTAATAATACTATAGAGTCTACAGGAGGTTACTGTAAGAATAATCCTTAGAGTTCTCATCATATGAAAAACTTTGCATAGCTATATACAATTATTGTGTTGATCATTTCACAATAAATACTATAAAGATCAAATCATTGTGTTATGTACCTGAAATAAATATAATGTTATATGCAACTATATCTCAATTTAAAAATTGCTAGGGCATTAAAAATTAAAATATTCAACTAACCAAAAAAATGAGCTAATGCATGTTAAAGACTTTGCTTAAGACCTGAAATAAATGAACTATCAACAAATATTACAAGGATGCAAGAGAAGGATAAGAATGCAAAAAAAATGACTTCTTCCCCTCCCAGGTCAGTTAATCCGCCAGTATTCGAACCCAGGACTTGGCTTTCTCTGTGCAAGCGCCTCAGGGAGTGTGGCCTCTTCCGAAGTGGGCGTGGCTTTTATAGAAGTGGGCGTGGCCTGATTTTAGGCGGTCCAACGCTCATGTAGTTTACTCATACCAGGAAGTCTAGTGTGACATCTCAGTTCCCATACCTACACACCAACATGAAGAAGCAATGCAAATCCCCACCACGAGGGGACAAAGATGAAAAGTCCTGAAGCCTCAGTAGGTGCTACTCATCTAAAGGACCGCTCTGAGAAAGATATGAAGTTATGAAGATGTTCAATAAACTCAATGAAACAGTCAGACAGATATCCAGTAACATGACAGAAGAATGCAAAAAAAATGAAGGCTAGATTTACTGTTACCAAGTAATGAAGGAGGCAGAAAGCATTTTATGGAATGTAAGAAAGGGAAGAACAAAACTGAATAGGGAGAAAGATGAATGAAATTCTGAGAAGCTTCCCTCTAAAATCAAAAGCACCAGAGGGGAGGAAAACCAAGGGAGGAAGATCGATCAGGATGATATTTAAAGCATGCTTCTGAGAAAAAACTATAGAGAAGGGGAAGAAGCAGTCTGTTCAAGTATAGGGAAACAAGCTCAGCTCCTGAGAGATATTGCCCCTCATTCAGAAAATATTCACAGTTGCTTTGCCCTCTGTCACACAGCATAATAACCAACTGATTCACCAGGAGAAAATCCAACATCCTCTGTGAGTCACATCACTATGGAAACCGTGGGTTCGGTGAATTAGAGACAGAATAGATGGCAAAGTCTCCACCCTCTTAACTTCAGTTCTGTGCTCAATGAATATATAAGTGAATATTTCTAGCTTAGCAGTTGACCAGTTAGCATCCAAATAGGTACCATGTAGATAATACTTCAGACTCTTTATAGACTAACCAAAGCTCATTATTGTCTCTTAGAATAGTTGGCACCATCCCCTTTCCCACCTTGACTAATGATGTTAGGAGTCTCCTAAATTCTAGGCTATAACAGTTACTGCCACATTCTCTTTTTTCCTCTCTCAAATTTTGGTATCCAATTAAGAGTCTCTGCAGTAGCTCTTGTATTCATCTTTCCTCTTTCACTGCTCTCACTCTACCTGGACCCTCACTTGTCAAGAATTTCAGACCTGGAAGAGGCTTTACTTTAGAGAAACTCAGAGTGATTAAGTGAGTTGTCCAAAGTCACACAGGTAGTCAGTGAGGCACTCAAATCAATAAGCTGAGGGTATGGGTTAAGCATCATTTCTTTTGAAGCATGGTCCTTGAGATGCATAAAGATATGTAAAGGTAAAGGTAAAGGCCCTCCCGTTGATCGTCGATTTGCTCGAGCGGGCCCAGTAACGTCTCCATTGGAGACTTTGTTGTTACTGTGTCTGGCATATCGAATACTCTCGGTAGCTTGCCGGGCTCTCCGAGAGGGGCGGAGGAATCGAACTCGGGTCGGCCATGTTGGCCGCTTGTAAGGCGAACACCCTACCCGCTGTGCTATCGCTCCAGCATAAAGATATACACATAACAAACTGGGCTAGCTTTCGGATTGCTGTACTATCTCTCTAACCCCCAACATTTACTTCTTAGCTAATTATTTCCAAGTCTATTGCCTGTCCTAATCTTTTTTTAAACTTAGTTTCACATTTCCTGCATCATGCTGGATATGTACAGGTTGTCCTGCAAATATTTACAATTCAATGTTCCCTTAATGAAAACTTAGATTTCCTCTTCCTCACCTAAAAAGAGTGTAGGGATGAATGAGAAATTAGTATCTAGATTTTAATCTCTCTCCTTTTTCATTTACTAAATTAACCACATAAAACTTGTCTCGTGGGGCTAGAGTGATAGCACAGTGGATAGGGCGTTTGCCTTGCACGTGGCCAACCTGGGTTCAATTCCCAGCATCCCATATGCACTCCTGGTGGTCCCTTGAGCACCACCAGGAGTAATTCCTGAGTGCAGACCCAGGAGTAACCCCTGTGCATTGCCGAGTGTGACCCAAAAAGAAAAAAAACTTGTCTCTTATTTGTAAAATAGAAATAACAATGGCACTTAATTAATACAACTATGGGAGAAGTATGAGGCACAGTTATTATAGGAACTACTTATTATCAAGTCCATCAGACTGTGTATTAATGAACTGTTGTCCAGAGGCTGTTCAACACAATCTTCAGCTCTTTTTTCTTGCTCCTCAGATCTAGTCACTGAGTCTGATCACTTTACCTGTACAGTGTCATTTGCACCCAACTACTCTTACATGCCTACCTCAAAGAAGAGAGAAAAACTGGACAAATAATTTATGGATCTAGAGCCAAAGAGACGGTGCAAGAGATAAAGCACTTGCTTGGCATGCAGCCGACCCTTGTTTGATCCCTGACACTGCTTGTGTTCCCCCAAGAACTGCTAAAGGTCACTCATGAGTATGAGGCCATTAAAAGCCCTTGAACACCCATGGATATGGCCCAGGACTCCCAAAAAATACAAAGAGGAAGATAATTAATGGATATACTAATACTTTTACCTTGACTGCCAAAAAATAACTAAATATCCCCTCTCCCCCAGCAGTTAACTCTGGAAGGACTTGGGTTACTCATGTGTTGGTCATGTGGAATACATTTTATTTGAACAGCTCACTATGGAGCACAGTAATGTCTATGCACATGATTAGATGAGTCAGGTTAACGATTCTGCAAGTTTTCTTCCACTGCAGCACTAACACCCACATTTTAATTTGTTGCCTTATTTAACACAATCTTCTGCTTTTAGCCCAAAATAAATAAAGGGGAACACTGCCAGTGGAAACCCAGTCAGCCAAGCTTGCTTGCCGCGCTTTGCCTGGCCTCACATTATATGTCAATGGCTTCATTATGGTTTGTTTATTTACAGGGAAGCTGTCAGTGTCTGAGATGAGAGGCATTCAGAAAATGATTCAGACAATGGCTTCACAGTACCTAGAATCCCCATGACTAGATTTTCCACAAACGTGTTGTTAAAGGAAATGTCCATAGATCAGCAACTGTGCTCTTTTGCTGGCAACACAGACATTGCTGATCTGCACAATTCCAGCCTGCAAGCCATTTTCCTAGTGAGAACAATAGGAACAGAATCATAGTGTTACAAAGTTGGCAAAGCACTTCAGAAGTACCAAAACCTGGGGGGCGGGGGAGGGGGGCGAGTAACTTAATCCACCCCTTTCTTCATTATTTTGAACAGATTAAATATTTCTGAGGGTCTTTATCAGTGACTGTCTTCAAATATTCACATCCTCTAACTGAGGTGGGGTGGAGGGGTCTTTCCCTCTGAGGCAGTGTGGCCATTCAATTGAAAGTCTTTCCAGACCTTCTCCTCTGGAATAAAGGGTCAGTTTTGGAAGGGGTCGCCATTTCTTCTTTCTGTGTCTCACTGTTAAATTCTGATCTGTCTTGAGTTTTCCAGTGGTTGACACAGGAAGGTTGAGAGATCCAAGTCTGTGCAATAAAAAGGAAGGAAAAAACAGTCAGGCAGAACTTCTGAGAAAGGTTTTGTCAAAGCCCACTCAGGCGCTCGGGTTGTTTCCTTCAAGCAGTGAAGATTGAAATCCAGGGGCTAGTGATCAAATGGTTGAATTCAGAAGAGACTTGATTTAGGGAAAGGAAAGCAGGAAAGCTCCCAGATTACAAAGGGTCCCCTAACGAAGGATTCCAGAGAAAGGCAGAAGTCTTCCCTCTTGTATGCCCTTTGAACAAAGGTGGCTCGGTTGGGTGAGCATTTCTTTATTCTGCTCCAAGAGTGTGGGCCCTTGAGAAACAGGGGAGAAGATACTGAAATGGTTCTCTTCTGGTGTCCAGATCTGGCAGGGTTAGGTCATCCAGGTTATCAGCCACCACTCAGGCCCATCCTGTGACATTTCATGCTGGTAATTCTTTTGCTATGGCCACATCCCTAATCTCTCCCTGCCCGTTCCCCTTTTGTCCCTATCAAGTTTCTTTGCTCCTAAAAGAAGACTTGTTGTCTGGACATCGGGCTAAGCTAAATAGTTGCAACTGTGAAGGTTTCCCTGTGTCCCTGAAGGGAGCCTATCAAGGACAAGGACAATAACAATGAGAGAATAAAGAAAAACTCTGGGTCTTTGAAACTACAAGTGTGCTGCTGAATCAACAAATCTGAAACCAAGCCAAGATTTCTTCTTATATGAGATAGGAGAGAAATTTTATGCATAGATTGGTGCCTATAAACCAGCGCCTTAATATTCTATAACTTTGCTGGATATGGACATTCAACTCTCTATATCCAGACAAAAGTCATTCCAGAGAGTGGAACTCAGATAAAAGCATTTAGAGAAAGGATTAGCAAATAGGATCAGAATTTACTTTGTATTCTCAAAGACCAAATAGGTCAATGGAAGTTGTTGCAGCCAGGTAGACTTGGGGGTGGGAATGGGGGAGGGGTGGTGAGAGTGAAGGGGCACTGATAATAAGGTTTTTTTTTTA